CCAAGCAGCTGCCTAAATAAACCCCTCTCAGCTGGCCCAGCCGCTCAGCCCCCACTCTACTGGGATTCCTGGCCAGGGGGAGGTGGGGGGCTTCAGTTGGAGAAGCTGGGGCCCCCTGGACAGCTCCAAGCAACAGATTGGTCCAAGGACTTCAACCTAGCAAGGCAGTGCAGGTAGCCCCCCACCACCACCACCACATCCAACAGTTCGCTCCCTCCCTCTGCTGGGCCTCTCCTCCCCACCCACCAGCTTACCTTCAAACTGGGCTTCTCTGGTCAAGACAGACTCTTCTAGAGGGAGCCAGGAAGCCACGTTAGCCCTGAAGGTTCTGCGGGCCAGGTGCTGCCCAAGGGCGGAAGCAGAGTGGTTGCCTCCCTTCCAGTGTGCACGCCTGAGCCCACCGTGCCAGGCCCAGGGTGCCGGGACTGTCCCCTCCTTGATGGGAGGTGGCAGGGAGGGAGCCCAGGACAGCCCACACGTCCCTCCTTCCAGCCAACGGACCACTTCGCTGCAGCAAGGAGGACCTGTGTTTCATAAGCAACACCAGAAACTTGAGGGGGAAAGATGCCAAGTTTTTGGGTTGTGTTTTCTCTCCCCTCTCTCACTCACTTAGCAGCTCCAATTTTCTTAAAGACACAGTGCTGTCTGAACAGGGGCCAAGAGAAGAGGGGGCCAGATGGAGAAATTTTTTTGAAGTGGGGTGTGGAAAGACAGGCAAGAAACAGGATCTCCCCGCAGGAAAAGGGGAGACTGTAGTTCACTTGGAATAACCAAAAACAGGGGATCCGGTCCCTCAGCCAGGGCTGTGGTGCTGAAGAGGGGAGTGTGGACTGTGTGTGTGTGTGTGTGTGTCTTTATGTGTGTGTGTGGCTATTAATGTGAGACCTGTGCCTATGTGTATGGGGGCGGGGGTGTATTGGGTGTGTGTGTGAGATCCTGTGTCTTTGTGTGTCTGTGTGCTGTGTATGGGTGAGACCAGGTATATTTCTGCGTGTATGTGAGTTTGTGTGTGTTTGAGAGTGTTGTCTGTATGTGTTTCTCTCTAGGTGTGCTTATTGGGTGTATATATGAGATTGTGTGTGTGTGTGTGTTAGAGAGAGAGAGTGTGAAACATTGTCTTTCTGTCAGGTGTGTGAGACCTTGTGTGTGTGTGAAAGAGAGAGACCTGGTGTCTTTGTGTGTGTCAGGTGTGAGACTTTGTGTGTGTATGTGTGTGTGTGTGTGTGTGTGTGTGTGTGTGTGAGAGACAGAGTGTGTGTGTGTGTGTGTGTGTGTGTGTGTGTGTGTGTGTGTGAGAGAGAGAGAGAGAGAGTTGTGGGTGATCTTAATGTCAGTGTGAGACCCGGTGTCTCTGTGTGTGCACGGGCATGTGTGTGTGCATTTGGGTGTGCAGGGATGTGTTTGTGTCTGTGTGTGACTCTGGGTGTTGGACTGAGCTCCAGCAGAGGACTGGGAAGCATTCATCAGACTCTAGCCCCAGTGAGAAGCCCAAATGGTGGCCTGGCTCTTTAAGACCACATACTCTCCTCGCCTATGCCTGCTGGCTCCTTGGCTGAAGGGCCCTGATGTATGGCTTGGCCACATAGCTGCAGACACAGCCCCTCTATGCACCCCACGCTGGGTGGGGAGGGGACAGGAAGCAGTCAGGCTGTGATGGGAGCTTGGCTTAAGCCCCAGTGACAGAAAGTTCTGGAGAGGAACCAGTGGGGCTTCAGTTTCCGTGCCTGGGGTTAGGAGGCACCCAAGCTCACAAGGATGGTATGGTCACCCAGGACTTCCCTTGATCGGGCAGAGGCGAGGCTGTGGGCCTCCCTCCCTCTGGAATAACCTTTCTGTGGTCCACGGCTATGACGCCCTCTGGGCCCCTCCCACTACTCTCCAGCGTGCGTGCACACACACAAATTACTCTCCTTCCTAAACGGGGTCTGGGAAGAGAAAGGGGCCCAAACAAGGGTAGCTGTTAGAAAAGCCCGCAGATGAGGAGGCCCTCAAACAACACTTTGTAGAAGTAGGGTTAGCCCTCACCGAATACCTGTAACCAGTCATCTCCGAGGCAGCTCTGAGTCAGGTGTGTCTGGGTCGAACTCTGTCCCAGAGGGTTTTCAAGGGAGTCTCGGAAGACAGATCCATTCTAGCATAGCTGTGTATATTCCTAACCACCCTGATGCTGAATATGGTCTTTAAGTCTAACTCGGGCTCCTCGGCCCTGTGGCTCTCTCCCCCTGACATCATCATTATCATGTGAGAGAGCTTCTTGGTACACTTTGGATTTCGTGGGCCAGCCCAAAGCACACACCTGCCCAGGGTTCCAGGAGCCAGAGGGGAGATTCCGCATCTGCACTGGATGGGCTTCCTGGAGGAGGAGGCAATATTGTGCGTCTCTGGAGCCACCAGCCTCCTCCCAGACACTCTCGCCCCACCCACTCCTGCAAGCACACTGGGCCAGAAAGCAGGGTCCCTCCTGGTCCTTGGTCCTGCGTCCTGTGGCTGACTGGCTCCCTCTTGTTCATCAAGTTTCCACTGAACAGTCCCCCTTCCCCCACATTGGAGAAGATCCGAGACTCCTGACTCGCAAGCAGTTTCTCTCCAGGAACGGACTGCCTGGATCTCCTGGTTACGGCCTCACAACTCGTACTGTAAACTGCAATTCTGTTATGCACGTGTGTTTAACACGTGCCCCCTCTCTGAGAGAAAGCCTGGTTAATCCACTCTCTGTTAATCCTGCTCCATAAATACCCCTGGACTGGACAGCTGGGTGTGTTGCTAGTCTTTCCAAAACCAAATTCACTGCCATCGAGTCAGTGTCAATCATAGAGAGAGACGCCCTGTGGGTTCCCGAGATTGTCCCCGTTGACTGGAGAAGAAAGCCCAGTCTTTCTCCCACAGCAATACTGGTGGTTTCGAACTGCCGACCATGCGGATCGCAGCCCGAGGAGTAACCACTGCTCCACCAGGGATCTTGTCATTAGATGCCAGAAATGCCCTGGGGCCCACCTACCTCCTCGATTTACAGACAGGGGAACTGAGGCCCTGACTGGGAAGCTGCACGACCAAGGCCAAACGAGAAATCTCACTGCCACTGAGCCCGCTCTGACTCAACGGGGCCTACGGGGTAGAGCAGGATTTCCCAGACCTACTACTCTCATCCTCCGCCCGAAAAGCAGCTGGGAGGTTTGAATCACCAACCTGGAGGTGTCACAGTTCAAGGCTTCACCTACTACACCCCCTGGGCTCCTAATGCCCACGGCCACACTGTCCTTTATGACCAGGGCGTCGTCACAGTCTTCCACATGCTATGGGAGAAGCCACAGCGGTTAGCAGCTTGACTGTTGACGGGTGCTGATGGCTTGGCACCGTGGCGGCTGCTCGGGGCTTGGCAGGCGGGCTGCTTCTGTGCACACGGACGGCCTGGAGACCCCGGCGGGGGCAGTTCTGCTCTTAGAGAGCTGCCATGAGTCGGCATCGCCTGGCGGCAACAGGTTTGGCTAGTGTTGGTTTTCGGTTCACGCGCTATGGGGGCCTGTGCTCTGGGGAGGGGGGTTGTCGCCAGCCTGCTTGGGGGATGGGAGCCCTTGCCCCCTCCCCCACCATGGAGGGGCCTTGGTGACAGCCGCACCCCAGCTGTCTTAGGAGCCCCACTGAGGAACAGCCAAGGTGGGCGGGGGTGCATGGAGAGGGATGGGCCCACCCAGGCAGAACGCAAACTGTGCTTATCAGTAGTGACAGCTTCCCTCCATTTGTCCACATGGCCCCACCTGCCTGCTCTGACCAGGCCTCACTTCCACCAAGAAGGACAGGAGGACAAGGGCCATGTGGCCCTCAGCTGAGAGCCATGCTATCCCTCAGGCATGCCACAGTGGGACCCGCAGGCCCACTTCCCCAAGAAGTCTGGCAAGAGGGTGTTCCACGCCCAAGGAAGGGGGCTGGTCACCTCCTGAGCAGCCCCTCTACAAGCCTGTAGCTGTCAGAGGTTGAAAGATCCTCCTGGAAAACGCATCCCACAGGGAAGTGAGCACCCAGGTGAGAAGACAGGCCTGAGGGAGACCCCACACCCAGCCTGGGAGTGCCCTGGGGGTGCCTGGCTGCCCTGGGGCTCCCAGCACCCATGGGAGCTGGACTCAGGCCTGGAGATGGGACCTCCATGAGCATGTGGGTGTCTTCACCAGATGGCAGATGGGGGTCCAGAGACCGGGACTAGAGAGCTCTTCCCAGCAGTGGATGGAAAGGGGAAGGATTGCGAGCCTCTGCAGGCAGGTCTGGCCACTTCTGTGGGTCTCAGGCAGCTCAGAGGATGACTAGCCCTTCTGGTTGCCTGGGGCCAGGGAGTGCCAGGGTTAAAATCCAGACGCCCCAGGCAGACAGGGTGGTGGGTTACCCTGGAAGCTGGAGGGCTCACTTCTCTCTTCCATACAGATTTGCTTTCATCCCCTCCCCTTCCCGCTGCCCCTTCCCCACAGCCCTCCCTGCCCCTCAGGAGGCCCAGCCTGTTCTCTTTCCTCCCCCTTCCTCCCTCCCCTTCCTCCACGCAGAGCGGCCAATCCCACCCCAGCTGTGGCTCCTCCACCCCAAGGAGGCCTCTAGCCCTCTCTCCCGCCCACCTCTGACCAGGGGGCTGCTGGCTGCACCACGTCAGCTTTTCCTGGAAGGCAAGGAAAGAAGCTGGAGAGAGAGCAAGCCAAATGGGAGAGACAGGAGAAAGAGAGAGAAAAACAGAAAATCCCAGGCAGCCAGGGTTGGACCCAAGGGTAGAGGAAGGAAGCAGACTCAGATCGAAAGGAGGAGAAAGAAGGTCTGGCAGCGAGCCTGGTGTGTGTGTGCACATGTGGGCGAGTGGGCGTGCAAGTACATGTGTGTATAAGAGTGTGCGTATGTGTGAGTGCAAGTACGTGTGTGTGCAAGTCCATGTATGTGTTTGTATACGAGTGTGAGTGCAGGGGTGTGTATGTGTACGTGAGTGTTTGTGTGCATGTGTGTGAGCATGTATGTTTGTATGCTGTGTGAGTGTGCGTGCTGCTCTGAGGCCGTGGGGCTGGAGCGAGCATCAGTGCCCACCACTGAGTGGACACCTGCGGCTCCGATGGGGCAGACTGTGCAGGCCCACCTTCCCTACAGTCTTAGCCTCATCCCAGGAAGAGGGGACCTGGGACCAGGTGGACCGGATGTCTGGGACCCTCCTCAGGGGTGTGAGGACCTCCCCCTCCTCTCAGTGTCCCAGTCCACCCAGCTTTGGGAACCAGGGCCGCCTCCCCTGATCCCGGCTCCTCTCTGACTTCGGTTCCCACAGCCCTTGCCCTGCTGTGTGTCTGGCTCCTGCTCCTCCAAGCCCACCTCACATGGGGACCTCTTCTTGAGCCGCATACTGCCCCTGTACCCACACATTTGCAGGGTTCACTGCCTGGGGTCTTTGAAGCATTTATTCAAAGGCCAGCTCCCCAGAAAGGCCTCC